ATATTCTGGACAATAAAGTAAAAACTAAAAACTTCTGACAGAACTACACTGTAGGCCAAAAGTATATGGACACATACAATAACAGTACCTTGTGTACTTTTGTTCTGGGGTTGCCTTTCATGGTTCGGCCGCGGCCCCTCAGCTCCAATTAAGGCAGATCTTAATCCGACAGCACACAATGATATTTGAACAATAATCAGTTCCCTCCAGGATTTTGTGGGTTTATTTTGGGATTGTTCTGGTCTATTAAATGTCTGATTTCATGGCAGCTTTTCTAACAACTTGCGACGCATGTTTGGATGTTTTTACGCAGGTTTTTTGCAGTGGAGTTGTGGAAAAAATTATAGCAGCAATTTATGAGTTTGTGATGACATTCAACAATCACACGGGGCTGTAAAGTTCAGGCGTCCAGAAACATTCGACCGTGTTGTGTAACATCTATATTTGGTACGTATAGCAATATGCTGCTTCAAGTTATTTTGTGCCAGTTTTTGAATAATTAAATAGCGCATAAAGAGCAACACCCTGATAGTTCCTCTTATTGCTGTTGGAGCAGATCCATTACAGGACATCTGTATATGATGAATATTAAATAAAAAAAAGTTCCTCAAAGAAGACAAAGACACTGACTGACATATGTGAGCTTGGATTCATCAAAAACCTTTTATAGGGTCTGGAAACATCAGAGAGAAAAGAGCAGGAAAAAAGCTTGCTCTCACTCCACTGAAATATTAAAGAGACCCATGGAAGCCTTGAATGGACAAAAACACTTTTTCACTCTCATTTTATCTTCATACGAACATGTTGACTCAACATCCACAGTCAGGTTTAAACTACCTCCAATCCTTGATTTATTGAAGGTTTGTACACTCAATGTTGTGTTTATGACCAAATCCAAGCAAAAGTTATGGTTGAAGCTGCACTAAGTGTACAAGTACACCGCTGTTATTGTCTTAAATCACAAAACGGGGCAACAAAAAGGTCATTTTGAGCCTCCTAACCCCACTCAGTGAGACTATGCAGAGTAAAATGTTTCCCTGTAGAGAGTCCACACTGGCTGAAGGTATTTTTTGACTTTGGTAAAGTCCTTCAAAGGTTCAGAAATATAAACCATAATTTGTAGTAATTTTTGAACAGTGTGTCCTTGATTTCAGACCAAATTAAACAACAGCAGCTCCTAATTTTTGGATTAGATTTTGTCGGCTAAAATTAACAATCACTGGATTTTTATCAGACGTGGCGACCGTCCAGGAAAGCCCACATGAAATGTAAATCATAGAGCTGTTTGCTTCCACATATTTACTTATTTCCTGTAAAAACAGGCAGCTAGAGAGGGACTAGCCCCCTGGTCGAGCAGCTGTAGCGGACCCATTAGCTGACTCTGTTGGACGGGGAGCTCCCACTGAACAGCACAACCAGACCGGGACTGAATGCAGCATCTGATGCCGACTGAGGACAGGAAATAAAGTACAGAGGTGTTTTATTGCTGGTTTTGGCTCCTGGCACCCCAGGGTTAAGTCGAGCTAACTAGCTAACGACATCTAACATTACTGTTAGCGACAGTTAGCTTCTTCTAGCAACAAGTCCACCTGGAAACTCCATAAATCACCTCGGTACCGCTGTCGTCAATCTGTCCTCTGTCTGTCCCTGAGGTCGTGTTCACTGGGAGGCTGCTGAGCCCCCAAAAAAGAGCAAACCGCAACAAACGTTTACCGTTTTATGCAAAAACTGACCCAGGTTGTAAACACACACTCAACAAACACACACACACACACACACACACACACTTTCAGCTGGTATTCGTGCACTCTTTCTCTGATCTGCAATCAGTCGCTCTGTTTATGTATCTCTGTGATGTCCAATGTCAGGGTGACTGCCCATAAGACACCAGGTCCCTCTCAGATTTACAACCACTGATAAACTCTGGCCTTCACGACTATAACTATTCTCCTTCTCCTCTCATCCAAATCGTCCTTCGGGGACTCAGAAGAGAAACCTCGTAAGCACAACAGACCCCCAAATCAACGTTTTAGGGAGTCGAGAAGTTTTTAAATGGGCTCAGAGTCAGAAATCACATCGGTTTTCTTGATAGAAACATAGATGGAAAGATACCTGAACATATGTGAACATGTCATTATGATACAATGGGCCTCATGAAGAAACTAGAAGAACAGAAACCATCCAGATAGACAGACAGACAGACAGACAGACAGATAGATAGATAGATAGATAGATAGATAGATAGATAGATAGATAGATAGATAGATAGATAGATAGATAGATAGATAGATAGATAGATAGCAGTTATGCATTTTTATCCTTTGACCTCTACTCAGCCCTTGGAGCAGGCAGCTCATTTATCTAAATAAAACAGACGCTGAAACGTCAGCAAACTCTGGCCCTCGTCATACAGCTTCCTCCAGGATAGAGTCTGTCTGGGTAACAACATCAGCTCCTCAGGTCCTCTAAGAAGACAGAAAACAGACGAGGCAAAACCTACAGCTAAAGCAGCTTATGTTTACTCATATTAATATGTTAGTATGTTCGACACTGACGCACCTCTGACAAGGGATTCAAGGTCGCTTTCTAAGCCTGTTCCTCAAAGTGTGGCTCGACAATACTAGAAAAAACAGTTTGTCAGCCGCCTGATCGCACCTGATTTCCTCCGTGTGTGTGTGTGTGTGTGTGTGTGTGTGTGTGTGTGTGAGGTGAAACAGGTGAAAATGACAGGCAGCTATCAGCAGGAGCCCATCTCTGCAGACTGCACCAAGCAGCAGCGAGCCAGCTTTTACCTTCCAGCAGTGTCAGCAACTCCTGAAGGCAGATGTTTTTTTAGTTTTTTTCAAAAGCAGCAACAACTCTCTCCATCTCGACCGCCGTCCTATTTCAGACAAATAACGTTAAAGGACAATCAAATTAATTGATGGCGTTGATTGCCTCCAGCGGCCAGTGGTGGGGTGAACTTGAAAGTCCTACAGAGACAAACAATGCCACTCATTGATCGATGGGGTTTTAAAAATAAACTCCTTAGTGTGACAAGTGGAGGATCACGATTGGATCTTCTCTTTCTTTCAATCTGTCCTTCAATCCCAACTGTCTTTACCCCACTTAGCTAAGGTAAAGACTATACAGGAGTTGATTAATGGATTAGTTGAGCAACAAAAATCATTCGACAACTATCTGCCAATCATTTGAGTCATTTATCAAGAAACAGAACAAGGTTACTGGTTCTCAGATGTCACCTTTATATAATTGTAAATTCAATATCTTTATGAACAAAAAAAGGACATTTGAACACGTCACCTCAGGGCTCTGGGAAATTCTGATCTGAAATATCTTCTGACTGTTTTATAGGCGAAACCATTGTTGGTTGAATCCTAAATTTAAACTGACTCATAAATAGAATTATTGGAAATTAAAGGAACATTTATGACATTGTTTCATCCATAATTGTTGCTGTTTTTACTCGCAACTCCAACAAAAAAATGTTGGAACAAGAAGAGAGGGCCTCCTAACACAAATCATTTCACTGTGGTTTGTGGTTTACATTGCTGGGGTGAAAACGCCACCAAGATTCCCAAAAAGCTCACAAACCTGTACAAAGCAACCAAAGGACATTTTTATCAAAGCTAGTAGACAGTCCCAAGGTTGGCAATGTCAGTTGGTTTATCTACTTTAGTAGCAAAAACTCATCTCATGGTCAGTGGTGAAAGCATTCTCATTTCTTGACTCGGTCTTGACTAGTCCTGGTTTTGGACTCGCCTTGGACTCGAGAAAGGTGGTCTTGACTACAGCACTGCCTGGAAGACATTCTGTATTGCACTACTTAGCCTGCAAGTGGAATAATACAAGACATTTCCTTCAAATCGAGGCATCATAACCCGAATCAAGTCCAAATATTCACAAGTGCATTACAGAACTTGTGATACATGTAACTCGACGCCTTCATTAAGCCCTTTGGAATCAGATAAACTGTGATACCACTTGCTGCTGAACACTTTGCAGGGCATTCTGGGCTATCAAGCATTGAGGAAAAAAATCAATTACTGGCATTGAAATGTTACCAAACAGCCAAGAATGAAGTCTGTATCCCCGGACTCATACTGCACTGTGTCTCAGTGTCCATCACGACAAAATGAGGAGGCATTTCAACGTGTAACGAGGAGAAAGCGCCTCTACAACAGATTTGCGTTTCATTAATCACACAGGATCCAGGCCACTGCAAAGCGCTCCATCTGCACCGCAGCCAACATACAGAAAAAGCCTCACAGATTGGAGCAGCTAGCAGCAGACGACCACTCATTATACGGAAACACAGCAGGATTGTAAAGCGCTAATGCTCGCCATCATCACACAAGCTCACTCCTATCCAAATGCTAAAAGGCCCGATTCATTGCCAGCGCTCTCACCTCCTGAATGCGACTCCCACTACCACACCTCCGAAAACGTATTCCTGGCTTTGAGCAGAAGATACACCACACAGCTCTTCTCATTACAGCTACGCCGGCTTTTCAAGTTCTTCCCTGCAAAATATGCTAGTTCCTTTGAAACAAAAAGGCAACCCAAAACTGAGCAAATGATGTAAAAGACAGAGGCAGTAACCATGGGCTGGTGAGCAAAGAGTGGGAGAGTGTAGGAAGAAATGAAAACAAACGTGGGAAGGAGAAAAAAAACTGTAATTCAAGACCGCTCTGGTCACTAATGCTGTTATTTCTCAGCAGCATTAACAACGTGAGAATGGAAACAGGGCTGACCATCTCAATCTTCCAATAAGAGCTGATGGGAACCCAAACATTGTTAGTGCTAACCACTTTGTTATCACAGCTCGCACACAGGCCAGTGAGGCATCTCTGTGTGTGTCCTTGCTCTCCACAACACAACCCGTTATCCTCTAACTGAAGGACAAGCCTGCGGATATTCTGGATTTCTTAGTGTCAATAAATGTAATGATCAGCAATCAGAGGATCCTGTGCTTTAAAAGATATTTCTCTATTTTTCAGGCTGATGTTCTGCTAACTGACGGCGGTTGCTGGTTCGATAAATAGTAAAACTAGGCCTATAACAGCTCTGTTTATAAGGTTAATAAGGCGTCATGAAAGCACCAGGAGATGCGTTCAATGACAAATGAAAGTCTGGGAAAAGAAACCAACAGGTAATAAGAAATCTAAATTAAATATGATAACATTTTGTTGGAAAAACTTTAGCTGAATTACTTTCCTGTATAATATATTTGGTATTATATTATTATATTTACAGATGAGGTAGAGTTTGGTGAACTGGTGGGAGGAGAGAGACAGCAAGGTTCAGATGAAGATACACAAAGTGAGTTGTTGGTATTTTTTTTTTTTTTTTTTTATATTATTTTTTTTTTTTTTTTTTTATTTTTTAAATTTTTTTTTTTATTTTTTTTTTTTTTTTTTTTTTTTTTTTTATTTTTTTTTTTTTTAGGGGGGTAGGGGGGTTTTTTTTTTTTTTTCTTTTTTTTTCTAAGTTTTTAAAAGAGAAAAAAATAATTTTTTTTTGGGTTTTTTTTTTTTTTTTTATTTTTTTTTTTTTTTTTTTTTTTTTAAAGGTTTTTTTTTTTTTTTTTTTTTTTTTTTTTTTTTTTTTTTTTATTTTTTTTTATATTTTTTTTTTTTTTTTTATTTTTTAAAAAATATTAATTTTTTTTTTATTTATATTTTTTTTTTTTTTTTTTAATTTTTTTTTATAAATTAATTATTTTTTTTTTTTTTTATTTTTTTTTTTTTTTTTTTTTTTAATTAATTTTTTTTAAAAATTTTTGTTTGGGTTTTTTTTTTTTTCGGGTGGTGGTTGCCCTCCCCCACCCACAAAAAATTATATTTAAATTTTTTTTTTGGTTAAAAGGGTTTTGTTTTCTTTTGTGTGGTTTTTTTTAAAATTTTTTTTTATTTTAAATCCCTTAAAAAATTTTTTTTTAAAAAAAAGGGGGGAAAAAAAAACCAAAAAGGAAAAAAAAGGATGATAATCAAGATAACACACCCTCCTGCTGCTCTTAATACGAGCTAAATCAACAAATTTGTGTTAATCCGCAGCTAAAAATAGTCCCCAACAAATACACAATTTACTCCTGTTTGAGTAACGTTTGCTAAAAAACTACAATGCCCAGGTGTTTTTTAAATATAAAACTACATAGGTAGGAACCACTGGGCTTCAGACAGGGAAGGAAAGTTGGAAAGTAATCGATAGATCGACAAACATATTGCTGGTTTTGGTCTTTGTACTTAAGGTTTTTCACTCTGAACACATTTAGTAATTGAAGGCTGCTATTTAATCCAAATTAAAGTAACATTTAGTTCTGCAACACAACAAACACTAAGCAGTTAAAGTGCAGTTGACTTCTGGAGTCCTTCAGAGAGACGCTCCGACAGGCAGCCCTGCAGACGTGATGGGAGGGAGGTAGATGTGTGTTTCTGTGTGTGTGTGTGTGTGTGTGTGTGTGTGTGTGCTTTACTTCTCTCCAGGAAAGGTGAGAAGAATGGAGTCTTTTTCTACCCCCATCATCCATTCACCGAAACCCAGAGTCTAGACTGAGCCCCAGATGGAGGGTGAGGGGGGGGGGATTCATAAACTGCAACAAATGAAGACAAAATGCTTCCAGCTGCCCTTGGTGGACGAGGATGGATCTGCTGTCGTGCTTCGTATGGAAGAGGGGAGACGTTTGACGGGGTCTTCAACCGCTCTGTCCTCTCTGCAGAGACTTTTCCTGCAGTGGCATTTGTCAACAGGAGCTCGCATTAGCATACAGCCAAATCCTGTCAAATATTGATTATTAGATTTCTTCAGGGATTCTTTTTCCCCCCCTATTATTGATTCATCTGCTGATCATATTCTCAATTCATTGTTTGTTCACTGGCGTCAAATGTCAGGAAATCAAATGCTTCAGTCCGTCAAATGATTCAAATGTGATCATAGAAGCATTAGATAACTAGAACATGTGAACATTGGAGGAGCTGGAAATATTTTTGCTTTAAAAAACAAACTTGTTGCAGATTTTCTGCTGTTAATCGATTGATTGTTTCAGCTTCAATTGATGTAAAATCTAGAAAAGTCTATGGATGGATGGCAAAGTTTGTGTTTGCCTCACTGCTGAAGACTCAAAAAACCCCATATTAAATCATGAAACATAAACCAACTGCAGTAAGCTATCACTATTTTCTGCTTTCACTCAACAGGAAATCTCATTATTCTGCAGCAGGCAGACAAACATCTCCAATTATCTGTGTTTCTGAGGACATATGGACACCAAAAAAACCCTGAATTACTCATTCAAAAACCCAGCAGGTCTGCAGTCACCTGTGTGCCTCTTGTGTTCAGGTGCAACAAACTTAATCTAAAACCCTATCACGTACACACTCACCTTATCAGATAAAACAGTCCAGTGCCAACTTTTTTTCTGCCAAGGACGAAAAACTTAACTGCAGAGCTGCGAGCGGCACGCACGGATGCGTCAATGACCGCGGTCGTTAGTGACCTTTCTCCCGCGGCTCTGCACCCTACAGGTCCGGGCTGTGTGTGTCAATGATGCAGTGCACACTCACTGTACGTGGCTCAAGTTGTGCACTTATACTGCGTGCATCCGAGGCAGCAGCGCGCACACAGAGAGAGAGAAACACCGCAAGAAGAAAAAAAAAACCCCGCAACAGTCATTCCTTCAGTGAACACGACGGACGGCAGCAGAGGAGATTACTCACCAGGAGATGTGGTGTTATCTGTGGGGGGGGCAGCAGCGATGGTCTCCCCGGTGCTGGAGATGATGAGATGCTGCAAATGAGACACTGCGGTCCACATTGATCCGCTTCCTCCAGCTCCAGTGTGTGTGTGTGTGTGTGTGTGTGTGTGTGTGTGTGTGCGTCGTGTGCAGGGTGAGGAGGAGAAGGGGACGGTCTGTTTCACGTCAGGTGGAAACACAGACGTGATGCTGTAAAATGGACAGCTCCCCGTCGGGTTTTTACCGTCCGCCTCAGCTCACAGACATCTCAACTCTTCTCTCCCTCCCTCCCTCTCTCTCTCTCTCTCTCTCTCTCTCTCTCTCTCTCTCTCTCTCTCTCCCTCCCCCCTCCCCACCGGGCTGGGCATGCCCAGTCTCTGCTTCCTCATGAGCATCAGTTTATTACTTACTTGCAGCTTTAAGTTAGTCAGATTGATTTCTGTCTGTCTGTATCTTCATCATCATAGATCACGTGTAAAATGTGGTTGTTATTGAAGTATGATTCATGCATAAGTGTGATTCATCACTAATTCACTTCCCTACAAATAAAGCCATGGTACAGTTCACACATTAACACAGGGGCGTGTCGGGGGGGGGGACCCCCATTACATTTTAAGGCGTGCTAGATAACTTAGAAAATATAGGACAATATCTCAGCATCTGGTTCACGTCTGTAAAGAAAGGTAAATGGAAATGAAATAGTCTAATAGAACAATGGTCTGTTTGATTGTTAAAAATTATAATGCATGTTTCTACAGTGGCCCAGAATGGACAAACTTACACCACTAGATGCCACTAAATCCTGCACACTGGTCCTTTAATTTGTAAAGTGTGCTAACTAGTAACTAAAGCATATATGTATACATGATCTACATTATAGGCTATATATATACACACACACAGAGAGAGCACTGTAATAAGAGTCTACTGCGAGCAGGCCTTTGAGCTAAGAAGCTAATGTCAGTTTATTTCTGTTACACATAGAAACAGGATTTAAAGTTAAAGTTAAAACCTGAATAAATAAAAAGCATGCAGATGCCTCCATACACACGGGACAACAACATATCACTGAATAGCTTCACGAGTATGAAAATGATGTGAATTATTTACATTGTGTGTTCAGATACTCTGAGAATATAAACTATGTGACGGAGCATTGAAGCTGTCATCATCTCATAAAGAAAGGATCAAACGCTCCAGAGGGATCAATACATGAGGGATCAGGGTGAGATCAACAAACTCAAAGGCCTCCGTGATCCCTGAGGCTCGATGCCAAGAACTGAAGGTGACGTTAAGGGTATCAGTTAAAAACACTTCTTCTTCTTCTTGTGGAGAAAAAGAAGGAGATGATCGACCTGGATGTGAATCTTGGACGTCTGTAAATATGAAACTTCAAGTAGAGCTAGGCTGGCAGTAACTTCCTGGAGTCGTCACAAACTGCAACTTGGTTACTTAAACTTTGGTTTTTGTTACCTTAAGACGGAGCCAGGCTAGCTGTTTCCCCCTGTTTCCAGTGTTGGCTGGCTCAGTATTAACCAGACAGATATGAGAGTGGTATCAAACTTCTCATCTGACTCTCAGCAAGAAAGTGATGAAGGATATTTCCCAAAATGTTGAATTATATTTTTGGGAATACACTGAGGGGTGATGCCGAGATTACATTATAACAAAAACAGAGATTAAACAATGACAAATAACAAAAAGAAGTCAATAAGAACATAAACATTGAAGCCACATCATAAAAATTAATAAGCATATTTATAAAATGTCCCAACGTTATCAGGGAATCAGTCTTTATTCAGAGTTTGGAGTTAACCTGAGGATCATGAAGGGTAATCCAGTCCTGAGAGCGGGTTTAAAAGGTCACAATGGTGCCAGATCAGAAAATCATCACATTGATATTCACTGTATTTATTATTTGTCGTCACTGGAGGGAAATGTGTGTTCAAAGGCTGCACGTGTTCAGAATCAGAGAAACTTTATTGATCCCCAGGGGGAAATCTGCTCATTACAGTTGCTCAAGGTGCTCACACGACATTAAAAAAATAAAAATTATACTTATATTATAACATCCAACACAATATATATAGAGAGAGAATATGAACTGTATATAGGTATTTTATTTCTCAGATCAGAAGATGTTACATTCATATTTACAGTAGTTATTTCTGCGCCGTCCCCGGAGAGAAATGTGTTTTCAAAGCCTGCATGTGTTAGTATAATATATATACACACATATACATTCATGCCCTACATATATCCTTACATCAACTTACATACACACACACATATATATACATACATACAAATCATCCTCCATATCGCTCTGTCTCCCCTCATTCACTGTCCTCTCTCCACTGAGCTCAACAGGCAGAAAAGAAGGTCTGAGAGAAAAATGTTGTTCTCCACTTTGAAATGAGAGACCCCGAAGAAGACCTTGACATAAATAACTGCGAAAGAAAAGTACATTTACTGAAATACAAACAATTGCATCCTGTCATGTTAAGTTTTATTTTGTGAGAATCTGTCCTGACAATAATGACATTGATTATTTCCACTGGGAAATAAATACTCTCCTGTGTGATTAAAGCGACGCTGAGAGACATCTTCAGCTGTTTCCTCACATTGTCCTCTGGAGTGCAATAGCCCGGCTCGTTGTTTATGTGGGTTAATGGACTCATCTTCAATCCCTCTGATCTGAATGATAATGACGACCCCGCAGAGCCAAAATGCAGTAATTACATATTGGGTCACAATTAAGACAAAATCAGACGTTTTGACATCTGTTTTATTATATAAATGTGTAATTTTTGAACAGTATGTAAAATGTGCAGGAACTATAACGAAATAATGTGATTTGATGTATTAATGTATAGATGTATAGATTATTTTATTAATGGTTCAAAAAGACAAAACTGAAGAAGAAATGAACATATTTTGTTTGTTTCCTGGCGCTCTTTGTCTAAGCAGTGCAATACATAGTATGTATGTATTTTTCACTATAATTTACAAACTTTAAGAGTCTTTCTTTCTTTCCTAAAATCCTTTAAACTTCACAGCTCTTTTCTCAGCTGTACTGTCTTACTGTACTCACTGTTGTAGAGATTTACAGACACTTTTAGACCGCTGTGATGGCTGTGACTGTAGCCAATGTTCACGCTTGTCTAAACTGTCAACCTGAATTCCTGCCAGAGGCATTAGTGCCGATTTACACTGGTTTGAAATGCATTAAAATCACAGCAGTTGTGTTCAGTATAATTCATGTTATAATCGCTTTAGATGAGCTCTAATGCCGCACTGACAGGCAGTGGTTGAATGTAGGTCCAGTGTGTAACATTCAGGAGGATCTATGGACAGAATATGATATTCATGAGGATGTTTTCATTTGTGTATAATCACCTGAATATAGGAACTGGTGTGTTTTTATGTTATGTAATGTTGAACCGCCCAGAACAGACCAACCAAACACTGGCTCTAAAAAGGTCTGTATGCGTTTTTGTGTCTTTTTGTGGCCACCGTAGTTTCTAATTCATGCTTGGAAGGGGAGGGTAAAGCGAGCTGGTTGCAATCACTTTTACCAGAACTAGCTGTTGCATCTGCTGATTAAACATAAAGCACTTTATAACCTCCCCCTCAGTTATATTTCAGATCTCCTTGTGTCTCTTTTTGTTCTTTACCTCTTGTTTATTCATCCATACGTTACTATTTATATGTATTTATGTATGTATATGATCATATATCTGTGTGTGTATATGTAAATATATCTGTATATGCATGTATATCTGTATATTGATTCCCTGAAAACAGTGGGAGATTTTAGAAATACATTAATTAATCTTAATGATTTAACATGTAACTGTTTTAATTGTGTCCTTATTGTCGGTCTTATTATTATTATTATTATTATTATTATTTTGTTTATATTGTTTCTGTTTTATCTCTGTTTTTGTTGCCTAATGTAATCTCAACATCACTGAAGTAAATAAAGGTTGAATTCAGTTGAATATATATATATTTTGTGTGTTTGTGAAGCACGTTTTAACTTCTAAAAAGTGCTATATAAAGCTTTACTTTCCTAAATCCTTCACACTGGACCTTTAGATATGAGAAATATTGTACTTTTACAGATTAATTAGTTGTTACTTTACAAATTAAAACCTTTGCCAACAAAAGATATGAATACATTTTAGCCTATGTTTTGTTATAAATTAAACTACCCAACAGCTTATACAAGTATAGCTGAAATTATTAATTGATTTGTTGGTTGACAGAAAATGTTTATAATCATTTAATCATTATGTTTTTTCTTTATATATATTTCTATCTCACATCTATTTGTTCACCTACTGTATGTACATTAAAGTTAATCTCTGATTCTGACTCTGATAATATTGTAGCCTGAGAACCAAACCAATCTGCCAAGCTCACGGTGTTTCATTTGCAAATTAGTCTGGCAATGCCGAGCTAATAATATTGACTTGCACTCCATAAACCACAGTGTTCAACGTCACATTAAATGAATCAGTCTGCACATTAGCACCTATTTACCTCATAAATACCCGACATCACTAGTATTTTACTCTCTGAATGACTCAAAACCTCCAGTGTTCGAAGCTCCCTGTGCTGCTGCGCTTTGCTGCCATCTGCAGGCAGGGAGGAGGTTGTGTGCTTTGTCGAAGTGGATCAAAGGGCAGCAGAGGGGCAGCAGGGGCAGCAGAGGGGCAACAGAGGGGCAGCAGAGGGGCAGCAGAGGGGCAACAGGGGCAGCAGGGGCAGCAGGGGCAGCAGAGGGGCAACAGGGGCAGCAGAGGGGCAGCAGAGGGGCAACAGAGGGGCAGCAGAGGGGCAACAGGGGCAGCAGAGGGGCAACAGAGGGGCAACAGAGGGGCAGCAGGGCAGCGAGGTTGAGAGCTGAGCAGCTGAGTCCAGGCGGCTGCTGAAAGGAGGTCTCTGTGTCTGAGCTGTCTTCACTCTTCTGTCTCCTCCACAGACTCACAGTGACTCTTTTATGCCCCGCCGGCTGCTCCTCTTCCACCCTGGAGGGCAATTAAAGTGTCCTTGTTTAAGTGTGTTAATTAATCTGAAGGCTGTTAGGTAGAAATTACTTGTTTGTTACCAGCATAACTCTGATGTTTCATACAGCAGCTGTTGAATAAAACAATCTCTTCCATGCTTTGTCCAGCAGATGGCCCTATATCTTCATTCTTTGGTGGATCTTTACTGTGATTGACACTTTATATTAAGGCACACATATTCACCATTAACTAGGTGCTTATTAGCATGCATATT